TGACATTTCCGTCCCCGAGCGCTGCATGAGTTCCGAATGTGCCATGGCCTTGCCCGTCAAGTACTTCCTTAAATGGAGTCCCCACTGTTTTTCTGGTACCTCCATTTCTCGGAAGTCCTGTTCTAACTGACAAAGGAAGGAACGCATGTTGGTCCCGTCGTCGTCACGGCGATTCCCTTTCCGGGGGTTGGTTCGGCTTTCGGCGTTGGCTCGGCTTTCGTCATTCACTTGGCGATGCAACTTCAATAATTCCATTTTCCACTCGAAAGCGGGTTTCCGGGATTCCCCAGGATTTCCCAGGGTCTCCGGTTCCTTCAGCGTCCTGGTCCTGGTTCCTCGCGGGGGTCAAGCCCTTCCTACTCACAGTTGGCCACAGCCATCCGTCGTTGTGGTTCTTCAAGGCTTTCTCGTCGTTCACGCTACTCAGAGCACCCGCCTTGCTCAGGGCCTTCGTCCATAGGATGGGCGCGGCGAGCTCAGGCCAGGCGGCTCGCACTCCCGATGGGATCTTGTCCTCCGCGGTTCTGGAAATTGCCCGCGATTTCTCTCGGTGAGCTTTCAATGTCACCTCGGTTGGCATAAGTGGTTGTCCCGTAGTCCTTCCGCGATGGGGTTGCATACAGGCGTCCCCTTGTCTCTTGGATGCGGGAGTCCCCCTGGGTTCGTGAGTTTAGGAAATTTTTTTTTTTTTTTCTTTTTTTTTTTTTACTAAGGAAAGGGGTTTGGCTATATTTTGGAAGAAAGTTCGCCTTTCCTTCCCGGAACGGCCCCCAAATTGTGATGACCCGGTGACAATCATCACTATGGCTGGTATGCGAAGGACTGCGTGAATGACTTGTTTGTAACAATTTAACTGTATATCCATTAAATCAAAGGTTTACGTCGATACCCGAACTAAAACAAAATTTCCCGCCAAGAATGTTCTGCCCCGGCGGCCGCTAGATCCGCAGGGTACGGCCGACCCATGCTCCGCGGTACCGGCCTCTCTCTCTCTATGAGACTGCGACTATGGTATACGGTTGCCCGTAAAGCGCATTACTAGTCTAAATTGATACGAAACTATAGTCAGTTTATCCTACTTATTACTTTTTCTAATCTTTAGTTCATTCGCTTATCTAGTTTCCTATTCTAACCGCAGTACTTTGTAGTGCGAGTGCACTACAGGGTCCCATGATATGTGCTATTATGGAACAGTCAGCGAGTATAAAGGATCGAAAGCGAACTGCGAACTGTCCGTTGGATCAAGGAAAACTTGGTGACAAGGAAGAATCACCATGGCCTAATGCAATTCTGGAATTTACGGAATTTGACACGTGGATCGGAGGAGTTGAGGCCCTTAGCTTACCTACGCAAGTACTTCAAGTGTTGAGACAATATCGGCTCTTATTTCCTGATAGTCTTCCTGATGGGCTTCCTCCTAAGAGGCCTTTCGACCACAGAATACCTCTTCTTCCAGGGAAACTACCAACACGAGCGCCCATTTATAAAATGGCCCCGGATCATCTGACTTATCACTCTAAGGAAATAGATTGTAGGCGTCATGCTAATCTAACTTAATACAGAATTATCGTTTACTGTCGTACTTATTACTTTTCTAGTCCATATATCCGCTATTTTAACTTTCTATTGTAACAGCGTTACATTGTAGTGCGAGCGCACTACAACTTCCCCCTTCGGCCAAAATTTCAGGTCACCCTAAATATCTCTATTATACAATGCTCTATCATACCCTGCACTTGTTCCCCCTTCCTCGCTTGTCTTCTGTATGCCTTCAATTCCGGTTCATCCGCCTGACTACTTTCCCTTACTCCTTACGGAATTCGCCACCACCCACTGCTCGTCGTTATCCCTCTCTCCATCTCCTGTAAACTACCTTGAAATGCGAGTGGTGCAACGTTATGCACCACTCATTCCCCTCCCTTAACAACCGAGACTACTAACCAAGTGTGCAGTTCATATAATATATAACTCTAGACTAATTATTGTGATGCTCCTGACTGTTTCTTACTTTTTTATAATAACGGCGCCAAGCCCTAAGAAGGGCCCAACAGTTTGTGAGGTTGGATGCTGGTTCCCAAGTGGCACGGTCTTCTGGAGCACCTCTCCACTTAACCAGATACTGTACGTCCTTTCCCGAACCGCGTTGATTAAGTATGTAGTCAACTTCGTATATGTCTGTGGGAGTACCATCTTTGTCCGTTATCGGAAGCCATCCTACTGCTGCCTCCTTGGATTGCATTTGTGGATCTCGTGGACGATCAGGGATAAGCTGCGAAACATGAAAAACATTATGACATGAGTAGGTTGGAGGCAACTCAATGCGATACGCAACCTGACCAATGCGTTCCAGTATTTTGAAGGGTCCCCGGGACCGGGGCTCCAGTTTGGAGCATTGATTTAGTCCTGGAAGGTGGCGACTGCTAATCCAAATTCGATCTCCCGGATTATATTGTACATCTCTTCGATGGGCATCTGCATAACGCTTCTGTTGCCACTTAGCTCTAATGATATGACTTTGCGCTCTGTCACACAACTGCTGAAATAACTTCGTCATGGGAGGTGTAAGCGTAGGTGCGAGATCTCCAACAATATCCATGTCTGCAGCAGTCACTGGGTTTTGCCCTATCATAACCTCAAAAGGGCTGAGCTCCGTCGACGAATGGGTGGTTGTATTGTAGGCGAGTTCCAGCGCCGGCAACAATCGTTCCCATTCTCTCACGTCAGTTTGAATATAAGTTCGAAGCATCTGTTCTAATGTGCGGTTGAGTCTTTCTGTCTGACCATCTGTTTGAGGGTGGTAAGAAGAAGACATCGCCCTTTTTATATGAAATCGCCGACATAAGAGCTGCCACAGTTGGGACTGAAACCGCGGATCCCGATCTGAGATCAAGATATCGGGAAATCCGTGATACCGAATTAATCGATCAGCCAGAATTTCTATAGTATCCGCCGTTGTTGCTGACTTTTTCGTAGGAATAAAATGCGCCATCTTACTGAGTGAGTCGACAATAACAAGAATACAATCATGACCCCGAGGAGTAAGTGGTAAGTCGGTTATAAAAGCCAAGCTAACATGGCTCTATCGTCGTGAAGGGATGAGCAGAGGTTGAAGGAGTCCCGCCGGCTTCTGCGATATCGTTCTCGATGCTCTACACTGCACACAAGACTCAACATACGCGTTTGTGTATGCTTTCATTCCAGGCCAATAATATATCTGATCGAAAGGAAAGTCTTGCGCTCGCCCCGATGTCCCGCTGTAACATGGTCGTGATGACAATACAGAATATAGGAAAGAAACTCAGGTAAGGTCGGTGGACAAATACGCCATAATCCATTAATGCACACGTATAAGTAGGGTTTCCTGAATTTAAATGTATAACGACGACTTTGTTATTGATGCACAAAATCTTCTTCACCATTACGCGTTGCTACCGGCGCAATATCCCGGAAATGCGGACAACGTTCATAAGCCTCCATCCAACGTTGGGGCGATAAATGCTCAGGTGCCGAAGGTACTTCAGCAAGGAGCTCTGCAGTCGTAAACGAGATTTGCGGGTCATTAGATGACAAAGCTGATGAAGTTGAGCTGTCGAATGTTAAGTCTTGAGAAGTGGATGAAGCTTGCCCTGACGTTTCTTCAATGGCATCAGACGACCTCAAAGATGGTTGTGTCGTTAATCTACCAATCCGTTGATTCTTCGAAGACGAACGCTGTCCTATCATCGCCCTAAAATCAGTATGAGGCGCTGACCCTGTTGCTAACCGAGTGGAATATTGAGGAGGCACACACGTTTCTTCCTGCTGTTGAATAAGAGAAGCTAAGACCTTAGATGGCCTTTTCGATTCTCCATTTGCATACTGAGGGTGCCTAGACAACGCATCCGCTACTTTGTTTTTTGCTCCTTGTAAGTAAGTAATTGTGAGATTCGGAAACTCCGCAAAGAAATCCAACCAACGCGCAGTTCGACCCCGCAACGGTTTCTGAGAATTTACGCGTTGAAGAAAGGTAAGAGCTTGATGATCCGTATACACCGTGACCTTAGCGACTCTAAGTAAGTGCCGCCATTTATCTAACGCAGATATAAGAGCCAACAGTTCCTGATCGTATATAGAATATTTCTGTTGAGCAGGTGTCACCACTTGACTAAGAAATCCCACAGGTTTGTCTTCTTGTTCGAGTACTGCGCCGATAGCATAACCCGAAGCATCTGTGTAAAGCGTAAAAGGTTTATTAGAGTCTGGTACCTGTAAGATCGTAAACTCAGAAAGACGCTGCTTGAGTTGTCGGACTGCGCTCGTGTGTTCTTCTGTGCAAACAAAAGGTACGTTTTTCCGCGGAAGCTCCACTAAAGGTCGTGCGATATCCGCGTATCTCGGCCCCATAAACATTCTACAATAATTAACCGTTCCAAGGAATTGTCGCACTTGCGTCTCATTAGTAAGATCCTCTTGCCACAAATTAATGGCTTCCACCTTATCTGCTGCAGGTTTAATTCCTTCGGATCCTATCGTATAACCTAAATAGGTTAGCTCACGTTGAGCAAATCTACATTTAGTCAACTTCGGATAAAATTGGTTTTTGAGAAAGATACCGAGAACTTGTTGTAGCACTCGAACATGCGTTTCCAAAGTGTTACTATATATAAGCACGTCATCTATATAAGCAATTACCCCATGACCGAGTAATGGCTGAAGATATGCGTTTATGTTAGCTTGGAAAGCTGCTGGCGCCCCCTTTAAACCAAAAGGCATGACTTTATACTCAAAAAGCCCTGAATAGATCTAAATGCTGTTTTCCATCTGTCTTCTCTAGCCATACGTATCTGATGAAATCCTGCTTCTAGATCTAATGTCGAAAAATATGTCGCACCCCCTATCATTTCCATAACCGTTTGCACACTCGGCATTGGAAATTTAGTCGCTATCGTCAAGGCATTCAAAGCTTGATAATTTACCACCATTCTCATCTTCTTCTACCCTGATCCATCGTCTCGTTTATCCATCATAATTGTCAGCGCGCAGATTGGAGAATAAGTTGCACCAATCCACCCTTTAGCAAAAAGTCGATCTATTTCTTTAGTGTGATAGGCCAGGTGATCCGGGAGCATCTTATAAATTGGCGCTCTTTTTGGCAGTTTCCCTGGGAGAAGAAGTATTCTATGGTCGAAAGGCCTCTTGGGTGGGAGCCCATCAGGTAGACTATCAGGAAATAAGAGTCGATATTGTCTCAACACTTGAAGTTTTTGTGAAGGTAAACTAAGGGCCTCAATACCTCTGATCCATGTGTCAAATTCCGTAAATTCCAAAATTGCATTGGGCCACGGTGATTCTTCTTTGTCATCGATTTTCCCTTGATCTAGCGGATATGCCGCAGTTCTCTTCTGATCCTTAATAGTCGTTGACTGTTCCACAATAGCACATATCATGGGACCCTGTTTCACTATTGGGTTGTGCATTTCCCTTTCAACTCTGGTTTCAGGCAGGACAACAATGCAGTTTAATCCTTGTATAGCTCCCTTCATTTCTTTAGTATCCTTCCTAGCCTGGTTGATAATTTCCTTTATTTTTATCCTTCCCTTC